GTCAGCAAAGCTTCTAGTATGCTGTCTTCCGACAAGTTCAACACAGCCTCGTGAAAGCTGACCGCAGCAGGCCGGTACCCATCGAAAACCTCTTCAACAGCTCGACAACTTGACTCGAAACGAAGTAAATGAACTTCGTTTTCCGCACATTCCTCCAAACTTTTTTTTCTCATGAAGCTGCCTAAATAAAACAATTTTTGTTATTACTCAAAAACCTCAGTAACAACAGAAAATTGAAACTAACAAACCCTCTTGAGAATCAGTGTCCACCAGCGTAGCGGCGATGCTCTTTAAATATGCAACCAATTCAACGGGGAAACTGTGCGAAGCTTCCGAAATGTTAAAACTGCTATACCCAAGTTCATCTCTAGAAACACCATTCCGACCGCTGATCCAATTTTCGTTCTCATGAACTTGCCCGTCATCAAAGTCCTCTGGTTTTCCACTATCAAACTCCTCCAAATAGTAGTGTTTTTTTCTTAAAAGAGATTGTGATTTACAAAAAGATTATGAAATAAAATCACAAAAAAAAAAAGAAAAATCTACCAAACCCTCGAGATTTAGAAAAAGTAATCAAAGTGTAGAACTGGAAAGGATCTCTACAATCAATGTCAGAAATTTCAATACCAAAGCTTAATGTCTAAATGATCAAGAGCAAACAAAGTTCTTCCATACTTTCGAAACGTTGAATTTTTAGATCTTCTTTTCGCCTGTTTTAGATAACCAAACGTAGCTTCAAACTGCCTCTCAAAGAGCCTCTTCCCACTGCTTGGACCCTCACTCTCCTTTTGTTCGCACGCATTGAAACCTTTAAGATCATCGTCAAATTCGTGACTAGTCCCTGCCACTTCACTTGCAGTGGTTCCCTTTGTATCAGTTGTAACTTCTTCGTCAAAATACCGCTGCCGTTTGCGGTGCATTCCCATGACAAAAAACCCTATAAAAACAAAGTCAGTAAGTGTTTTCGCTGAAATGACCAAAAAATATGCCGCGAACGTTCACTAATGATACATTCCGCCGTTTGGCTAAATAGGTTTGCAAATTGGTGTAATCACGAGTCGTATCACAATCGCAGTGTCAAGTGTGTTCCTGAACAATGAGATTTCACTTGGAAGAAAAATACTTCTTACCTAACGAACTGTTTTCAGACAGTTCTTAGTCTCTTCCGTTCTCCACATTGTATCCAGCAACCGCGGCCAAT